TATAGAATTGCATACATTGGTGAAGTTAATGAGAGTACGACGAAAATAAATAAGACAGAATCGAATTTCGAGCGTTCTACACAGACACGCTCGTTTGTCGCATTATCCTATTTGGAACCACGACAACCCGCCTTATCTGATTTACACAGAATCCGCGCATTCTTTGTCTGGCGAATTTCCTATCGGATGCGTTTACATCAATTGTCGCGTTTCGATCCGTTGAATAACTGGCTAATTTCGTAGGCCCACGGTGAAGTGATTTTTTTTAACATTTACTATTCCAAAGACGAAAGCATTACAAAACATTTAATAATAAATGCGTATCTTACGCGGAGTTATTCACTTCGCCTGTTTATAATACACGATTTAAGTAAGAGTACATTGGTAATATGTTACTTTTATTGCTTTTTCTATAAAGAGACTATTAAACGAACAAACATCGTTGTTAAAAATGGGATTGCCTTTTTACTTATTAAAATATAGCAATGAACAAAGTTTATAAACAATTTTTGGGACATGATCTTGGATAGCATAGATGACAAATAATAAATTCCGTATTCCTTCACTGCTGAGCACGTGATAAGTAAGCACTCAGAATAAACAAATTCATTAGCGCCGGCACCGGGGATCGAACTCAGGTTGCTCGAGGTGGAGTGCGTTTTAATGGCAAGTCTCATCATCATCATCATCATTTCAGCCTGTTTGAGTCCACTGCTGAACATAGGCCTCCCCCATAGACTGCCATGAAGCACGATCTCGAGCCATCTGCATCCATCGACTTCCCGCACATTTGCACAGCTCGTCACTCCATCTAGTGGGGGGGTCGTCCCACATTACGATGGCCAGTTCGAGGCTCTATGGCAAGGCTATACATACATGCTATTACATGCTATTGAATGCTATAGAATATTCCCGCCGGTTATCGAAATGTAAGCGTGACAAAGCTATTTTCGTTACTAATTCGTTGTACGCGGTCGTCATTGTTGGGGTCAATGATTCAATTCACGCGTCGGGCCGTTCCAATTAATTTATTGTCGCATCGAAATATTTAACGGCTGCCGTCACTAATGCCGATGTTGAATTGTGTGTTGACAAATTTATTTATACAATGTCAACAATCAACAGTTACAAAATACCAATTATCTGTAGTCTTCAGTACCTAAGAGACCTAAAAACCAAAAGTAAAAGGGAGGCCTCGAAAGATGTTAAGCCTAGTTTAAAAATAGCGAATATGAGCCACCCGGATATATATATTTATTTATTTATTTACTTAGTTGCCAACAGAGTAGACACCATCGCAAGTTAACAAAAAGAAACGAAAACAAGTTTGGTGCTAATTATAGGCGCAAAAAACATCAACAGCGTTAGAAATTAAAATTATTTTTTTTGAAAAGGCAACCATGCTAGATTTTGCTTTGTTTTGTTTTATATGTATTTTATTTATACTTAAAACAATGGAACTAGGACCAAGTTTTGCAAAGTGCAGAAATACTATTGCAACAATACTATAATACATATATAAAACCCAGACAGTAAAAAAACACTATGCTCATCACACAATATTTTTCCAGTAGTGGGCATCGAACCCACAATCTCTGGCGCAGGAGGCAGGTACACTACCCACTATGCCATTCGGGTCGGTCATATACGTGAAACGTTTCCGGAATAGTGGTCGCATTCATAAAACAGCAGAAGAAGCTTAATGGCACAACCACAGTAAAAGGGGCTTTAAATTATTTTTCAATAAGATTAGCTACACCAATCATTTTTTTTAAATCCACGGAACTAATACTACTATATATAAGTATAGTGAAAAATAATTGTATGAATCAAAATATTTAGAATAAATTAAATGCTCTCTTTAAGTTTTTATGAAGTAAATACAGAGCTTGGAACGGGGTTTATTACGCCCGAAAAGTGGTAAATCAGGTCTTCGCTCATGAATAATTAAAATACCGCTTACACGAAACGCATTTTTTTAGAAATTTACGCGATTTTTTGTTATATATTTAGATTGAACATTTATTTTTTCTGTTCAGTTGTATATTTATGTTGATTGTTGTATGCACTTTCTTACTAATAATTGCAAATTTAAAATAAACTTAAAAATTTAATTAAAGTAAAATTACTTCAGAATTAAAATTAGAAATAAACGCGATAAATTCGTAAAATTATTATAATAGTTTTATTTGTATTGATTTTCTTTAAAACTATCCTTGTCACGTATTAAAATTTATGATAATTGTTGCGGTTACGTATGCAATTGTGCACCTCGGCAATTGTTTATTTACGTACATTGACTACAAATTGCTGTAAGGGTATAAATTTGCAGCATGCAAGCAGATGGTATACAGAGATCATTACTTACCCGATTTACTTCATACCTTGAGAGAAGAGAAGACAAAGGTTCCGTACCGAAAGGGTAAAACGAGACCCTATTACTGAGAATCCACCGACTGTCTGTCTATTTGTATGTCCCGAGGCTGTATCTCATTAACCGTTATAGTTAGACAGTTGAAATTTTCACAGATGATGTATTTCTGTTGCCGCTATAATTTCAGTATAAACAATATCGCATCAACAATTAAAATTAGCAACGTGCCCTTGTTTGCGGGTGACCTTAAGTTATTTAGGCTAATAGATTTGAGTGCTGATTCTTTTCTTAAACGGTAAGATCTAAACTGACCTGCAGCATGGTGTAAGGCGAATGATGCGATAGAAATGGGACAATATTAAATGTACTGGAAATAAAGTTCTTTCACATTTAATTTACGAGAATAAGTACGTCTAAGTGCTACATCGAGGAAACTGAATATTGGAACGAATGGAATAAGAGTTCTTGCTGTGACGAGATATGCGTCAGAAATTGTTATCCTGTCGTCTTCTGTTTAAAATATATGAAATAATACAAGTAAGAACCTGAACCGGTGGTACCATACGAATCCATACTAATATTATAAATGCGAAAGTAACTCTGTCTGTTTGTCTGTCTCGCTTTCACTCCAAAACTATTTAAATGAAATTTGGTACACAGATAATCTAGAGATAATTTGGTACACAGATTTTTTTTTGGATACATTTTTACACAACATTCTCTGTCCCAAACTAAGCAATGCTTGTACTATGGGTACTAGAAAACTGATAGACATGCAGGTGGCTCAGGATCGTACTTCGTGGCAGTCTATGGGGGAGGCCTATGTTCAGCAGTGGACTCAAACAGGCTGAAATGATGATGATGATGATGATTGTGAATATGTACAACAAGACATACATTTAAAATAATTAATGTACGTAATAATTAAAATAATTGTTTTAAGTAATTCATTTTGACCTAAAAATAAATGAAAAATAGTTGCATTATCACGTTTGTGAAATACAAGTTAACAAAAGCGAGGTTGGACGTGAATAAAATATTCGTTAAGTTTATAATGGCAATGACTCAAGTTAGTAACCGCAATTTTAAGTTTCCTTGATGTGGTTAAAGGCCGAATAATTTTCTGAAATATCTGCTTTGCAGCGTTTTGTTTTAGATATATATTTAGTGTATTGACGGTAACGAATTGCGTACAAAGTTTTAAAACTGGCGGATCATTACTTTAACTCCTTTTAAAATTTGTAGGAAAAAGGAGTTTTTTTTTTAATGTGAAAAGTTGCAAAACGAGCAGACGGTTCACCTGTAAGTGAATACCGCCGCCCATGGACATCTGCTACATCCGAGGGCTTCAGATGCATTGACAACCTTTTAAAAATTGGGCTCCGGCTACCCCATTTACCAGACGAAACGCGAAAGTATTTTTCATACTTCCACTTTACGCTGGTGTTCTGTGAGGTCGTGGTACTTACCCGGACGGGCCTGCCCATTCGTGCAACAGCCGAGGCTGCTACGTGGCCCTACCACCAATGCTGCGTGGCACTACCACCGGTAGAGTCAAAAGATTCTCGCCGTTGTCGGAATCGAACCCACGTCTTCGGGATTCGCGCTCTACGAATTATTCGAACGCTCTAGCCAGAGCCTAAACGGCTGATTGCCACATGCCACGTAGACTATACTAACGACTAAGAGCCGTGATAGCTCAGTGTCCGGACGCTCGCCTTTAATTCAATATACTCGAGCAACCTGAGTTCGATCCCCGGTGCCGGCACCAATGAAATTTTTAACTTTAAGTGCTGATTTATCACGTGCTCCGCGGTGAAGGAAAACATCGTGAGGAAACCTGCATATTTTCGAAATAATAACAAAAAAAAATATTTCGATGATATGTGAAGTCCGCCAATCCGCAGTGGGGCCGCGTGGTGGACTATGCCCTGATACCCTCTATAAAGAGGAGGCCTTTGCCCAGCAGTGGGACATGTATAGGCTGTTACTTTACTTTACTTTTACGTCGACTATAAATTTTATATAAATCACCATATGAATAGAACCCAAAAACTCACTGAATCTCTCAGAAAAAATACGTGAGATGCGGGTGCAGTCTTTAACTGGTATGTCACACTACATGAGGCTAATTATATCTAAAAAAAATGCGGCGAGACTTACACAAATTATATACCTCTCGTTTTGAGGGAGCTATATAGGACCTAGGTAACATAGAATCAAGTTTTAGCCAGAGATTTATCCGTCGGATAAAGTAAATTTACTAAGCAACAGCTTAGTAAATTGACTTCAGTGAGCGGGGCTATTATCTCCAGTAGAAGAGATATTTTGAGCGAGGTTGAGAGATTCTATGGACTGTTGAAATTAGGGCGGTACCCCAGGATAAATTCCGTAAAACAGCTCCTTCTTATTCTTCCGCGTTCATAGCTTACGATAGTTTTATTTAACCGTTTTAATATTCGCCCTATTACAAAACAAAACAATGGAGTATAAAGTCTAAGGAAAGAAATTTGCTTATATGTTTTTTAAAAGAAACAAAATATATATATAACCTCAATACATCAGAAACAGCGGTATTAATTACAAACCAGAAATAAAGTCAAGTGAATTATACATTTTCACAGTCATGACTGGAGTCAGGTAAGGTACTTACGAGTAATTTAACGTTTTAAAAATATCACAATTCGTATAGAATAAGGAAGTCTATTAAAATAGATCAAGGCGAAATTTATTACCGGCTTTAACCTCCAATGTTTTCTGAACAATAAATTACCTCATGTTCGTCAATTACGTACAATGTCAATAATTAACGTAAGTAAAAAGTACAATTTAAAGAATTCTTCCTTAAACTGTACTTATTCGTATAATTTATTGTTTGGAATTATTTGAAGGCAAATATTTTGCCTGTAAAACGAAGATGATTACTGAGGATGACATGTTGATAAAAGAAGAATTAAAATGTCGATCATATTTAATCTGTGTTTGGAATTGACCTTTTGTTGACGAGAGTTTTTATGTTGAATATTGAAACGATACATTTGTATTGTTTGTCCCTTCGTATCCTAATTTTGAATTATTTGAAAATTCTACACTTGAAACTCAAAAGAGAGTTCTTATATATTTAATATATAGAAGATGCTTCCAGTTACAAAGACATTAAGATTTACAAAACTACAATTTCGAACGCTTTTTATTATTGCTGACTAGTTTTTTTTACTATTTTTATCTGTTATATAGCTGTCGAAGTATAGCACCCTCTCTCTATCTCAGCCTAGCGGTCTAGAGCCTGAGAAAAAAGAAACAACTTCCATTATTTTCCTCTGTATATTAACGATCCCAGTAAAAAACAATATTGAAGCTTTATCATTGTCGTGTGGTATTATTTTTAGGGTTGCGTACCCGAAGGGTAAAACGGGACCCTATTACTGAGGATCCGCTGTCTATCTGTCTGTTTTATCACCAGGCTGTATCTCGTGAATCTTGATGGTTAGACAGTTAAAATTTTCATGGATGATGTATTTCTGTTGCCAATGTACCAAAAATACTACAAAACAGAATAAAGAAAGATTCAAATGGGGGTCCCATACAACGGACATGATTTTATTGCCTATTTTATAGACAATGGTACGGAACCATACGTACCCGAGTCCGCTTCGTTCTTGTCTGGTTTTTTATAGAAAAAGGGGGTAAATGGGCCGAAGCATTACCTTCGTCCATGACAATCTATAACGTGAATCTGTAAGACTTGGGTCTGACTCCCGCAGGCAGCGGTGAGAGACTTTTCATCCTTTATTCGACACATTTTAATGTTTCATCTTAAGTGCCGAGATTAGCATTATATAAAAATTTAAATACAAATTTAGTTTTGAATTTCGTAGTCACCCGTTTTAGCTGTCAACGGGAACACGAAATCTTTCCGTTATAACATTTAAATTCCAAGCAGCCGCAACAGTCAAAGTATAACGCTCGCAGTGCAAACATCTCGAACGATTTCAAACTACTGTTAAATTAAGGGCCAATTCCTTTTTTCAAATATAAATTTAAATTTAAACAGTACTTTCTTTTTATTTATAAGAATACTGATAAGCATGTTTTGGTTGCTATATTTTCTGTTAATTAGCAATACTAATGCTAAGCTCGCCTTAACCATTACTTACGACTCATATACGGGAATTCCTATAAGCCAAGAAGATGTGAAACGACACGACAAACGGAACACTACCTTGTAAGTTGTTTTTATAATATCAGTAACTACTATAGAAAACGTATAATTTTCTGATAGACTGTTGTCAGGCTGAAAACCCCATGGGTAGGAGACACTGCCTCTTTGTGCTTGATGGGTATCAGGGTCCTGTAACGTTCACAGCTTAATGACCTCGTCAACTATCATCGGTTTATCTTTATTTTTAACTGATATTAGAGCTTTATTTATTATCGCTTGATATCAATAAAGTACGCCCAACTACAGGTCTGCCAATTCATTGTTAAAGCCTTCTGTATATATATATGCTCCATCTATCTATTTTCCGAGGCTAAAATTACGGCTGTTGATTTTTGAGGCTTCTGTATGAGGCCAAATAGGCCACGTGAAGGTTGTTTACGATATAAAGCACGTCTCGTGCCAATGAACTTGTTAAATATCTTAAATGCAAATTAAATTCGCGGTTTTTTGCTTGTTATGTACTCATCTTTCCAGAACGAACTCAAAACAGTATGAATAATAAAATGATTATAAAATATAATCATTTTTTACACAAAGATTTTGCGAAAAGTTTATACAATTTCCGAAATAACCGCACATCGTTGATAGCTTTTTTTATGTGAAAAGTTGTCAAGCGAGCAGACGGTTCACATGATGTTAAATAAATACCGCCACCCATAGACATCTGTTACACCCGAATTTTCAAAAAGGTTGTCAACGCATCTGAAACCTCAGATGCGTTGACAACCTTTTTGAAAATTGGGCTCTGGCCACCTCACTCACCAGACGAAACGCGAAAATATTATACTTCCACTTTACGCCAGTCTTATGTAAGGTCCTGGTATCTACCCGGACGAGCTTGCCCATTCGTGCAACAGCCGAGGCTGCTGCGTGGCCCGAGCTGACTTGGAAGCATAGCTTTTAGTTGAAAAATATAATTATGATCCCCACAGCCATTGTCAGAGCGTTAGCTACGGGCTATGTGATCTCATATAGAATCCATTCTTTGCTACTTTTATGCACTCCGCAGAGGATGAAATTCGATGGGCTTCTGTTCCCCTCATCCAAAAGACTGGTTAACCCTTTTCACCACCTGACAAGATAAACCGGAAACACATTGCTCTCATTTAAATACCCGACATTACTTTTTATTTTCTTCTGAAAGCTATAAATACGCTATTATAAATAATTATATAATTTATTATTTCACACGTTAACGTTTACACATAATGTGTATAATAATAGAACTTGGATGAATGAAAAAATAATGGAGATTGTGGTCATTCAGAAACAAGAGCGAGTCGGATTTGCGAAGGGTTCCGTATCTTTAAAAACGGCAAAAATTCATGTCTGTCGTATGGGAGCTACACTTAAATATTTTTCTATTCTGTGTGTTCCTATTTATAATTATAGCGGCAACAGACAAACATCATTTGTCAAAATCCCAACTGTCTATTGTTTGCTTGTTGTTTTGGTTCATGAAATACAGCCTGGTGAAAGACGGACAAAGAGATAGACAGCAGAGTCTTAGTAATAAGGTCCCGTTTTACCGTCTTGGTGCGGAATTCTAAAAAAATAGATGCTTGATACTCCGAGAATCTGATTACATAGTGAATTATTTTGACGCTAAGTATCGATTTTAGTTGGTGCACACAGCAAGTGGAGCCGTGCGCTCCTGATGAAGGGAGGCGAATAGACGGTTCATGTAACAACCTGCGACTTCCCACCCGTGGGGCCGCCCACACTCCTACGTACAGAGTCCTCCCCGCTGTCTATGGAAAAGGTAAATATCATGGAAAAGGTAAATATCACGGAAAAGGTAAATATCGTTATGGTGGTAGGGCCATGCAGCAGCCTCGGCTGTTGCACGAATGGGCAGGCTCGTCCGGGTAAGTACCACGACCTCACAGAAGACCGGCGTTAAGTGGAAGTATAATACTTTCGCATTTCGTCTGGTGAGTGAGGTGGCCGGAGCCCAATTTTCAAAAGGTTGTCAACGCATCTGAAACCCTCGGGTGTAGCAGATGTCCATAGGCGGCGGTACTCACTTAACATCAGGTGAACCGTCTGCTCGCTTGGCAATTTTTGACATAAAAAAAAAATATCAGTAATCATATGCTTCTAAACACGGATGTATATACAGGTTGACATTATCCCGGCGTGATACTCTCATCTCTACACCAAACCTTACATGTTGGTCAGCACGTTCTTTAAGGGCTTAACTGTGATAGTGCCGCGCAACGCAACAGTTCACTGTTGCACTAATGGGTAGGCCCGTCCGGGGAATTACCACGACCTCACAGAAGACCGGCGTGAAGTGGAAGTGTTATTCTTCTGCGTTTTACTAGTAAGGTTAGCGGGGCCAATTTTATTAAAAGGTGGCAACGCATTTGCAACCCTACGGGTGTCGCAAATGTCCACGGGCGGCGGTTATCACTTAATATCAGGGGAACCACCAGGTTACTTGCCACCTTATCACATAAAAAAACACATAATAAAACTCTAGATGGCGTCAGAAGTTTATCGGGTCCTGAGACGGATGAAGCATTACGTAGTCTTGATATGTAACTTTACTTTATAGTATAAAACAAAGTCGCCCCGCTGTCTATGTATGCTTCGAACTTTAAAACTACGCGACGGATCTAGATGCGGTTTTTTTTACTAGATAGAGTGATTCAAGAGGAATGCTTATATGTATAATACACGGGTGCAGTGCGAAGCCGTCTTCTTATTTTCTTATATCTTCTTATAATAATACTTTTAAATCACGCATAATTACTAAAAATTCCAAATTAAATTTAGTGACTGGGCAACAGTGGGTATATATAAAAGTAGGGATTCACTATATGAATTATATAGTATGAGGCAATGGAATCACGACCATAATTTCCATAAGTGGGTAAAAAGTTCTCAAAAATATTTAAAAAAGTCTGTGCCCAGGCAAAATCTATTTATATAGGAAATAGAATTCTAAATTCAAATAATAAAATAAAAGCCACATGGGACATTATTACCCGTATATCTGGAAGACCCAAGATATTCAGGGAACCTATAAAACTTATCATATAATAGGTAATATCAGACAATGAAATTGGAAATAGCTTCGAAAATTATTTTTCAGAAATTGCAGTTAATGTCACATGCACATTAAAATCCTCTCCCATAGCTGCAATTAGTATATTGAAAAATAATGTTACCTATTGTCGACACACGTTTAAATTTAATCACGTAGATACTAATGATATCATAAAAGCCTTGAAATCTATTAATCTTAAAAGTACAGAGGGTTTATGGGGCATGTCCATAAAATTAATGACCACATTAATGTCATGTATTGCACCACATTTGGCTTACATTTTTAACAACTGTATAGATTCAGGAATATTTCCAGATCTTATAAAATTTAGTAAGATAATCCCCGTCTTCAAAAGTGGGGATAAAAATGATCCAGGCCATCTTTAAGTAAAGTATTTGAAAAACTAATTTTAAATCAACTATTAGTAAATTTTAATATCAACAAAAATTTTCACGATGAGCAATATGGATTCACTAAAGGCAGATCGATAACAGATTAGGGTGTCGCACTTGTCAAGCATATTTATAACGCCTGGGAAAGGTCACAAGATGCATTAGGTGTCTTTTGTGACCTTTCAAAAGTCTTCGACTGCGTAGATCACAAAACCCTTCTTGGCAAGCTAGATTATTATGGCATTCGTGACAGCGCCCTCAATCTCATCACCTCTTACCTTAGTAATAGAATTCAAAAAGTGTATATAAATGAAGTTAATTCCGCAGGGTCCCCCATGAAAATGGGTGTCCCATAAGGATCAATCTTGGGCCCATTTTTATTTCTAGTATATATATAAGAATATTTTTCAGTGTTTAGGATGACACAGCAATCAAAACACAATTGAGTTTCTCTATAATTAAAGATTTATTGTAAGATTTTGAAACTATAACAAATAATAATTAAAATAACAAAAATAAAAGATTTTACTATTAAAACTTTACCTGTAATTAAAGAAACGACATTTAATGTTAATAATCACAATGTCGATTCCTAAATCACTATTTTACTTATTAAATATCTTTGTAATCAGATTATTTTCATGAATTGCTTCATATGACAGCTTAATTCTTTTTCTGTTATAATCCGGCGTACAAACATAGTTTTTAAAATAAATTTTATCAACGGCCGGTGCGCGAAAATATTTAAATTAAAGAAAATATTTAAATAAAAGAAAATAATATTTTTCTTTACATATATAAATGATCTCCCCTCTTATGCTAGTGAGTTTTGTGATGTTGTACTGTTTGCTAACGATATATCACACATCTTTAAGGTTAACAGAAATTTATCAAATTATGACGACGGTGCACTTTCGCATATCCTTCACTGGTTCACCATAAATAATATGGTATTAAATGCCAAAAAAACTAAATGTATTCTTTTTTCTCTTCCTAGTGTAAGAAAGCAAAGTTTTAGGTTATTATTAAAGCCAAGGTTTGGGGTTAATACTGTTGATACTCACGTAGGCTAAAATGACATACTTGTTCTATTATATTGTAAACTAAACGTTTTAAAAAAGAGCAACTGTTGAGTTTCTTGCCGGTTTCTTCTCAACAGAAACTGCTTTCCGAAACGGTGGTAACTTACGAACGTATTAATTTTTATGTAAAATTTTTGACTTTCCATAAGAACGCGCAAGCGTCTATGTGAATAAATATATTTTTGATTTTGATTTTTGATTTGATTTTTGCCGGTGCGGGTCGCTAGTACTATAATAACCATATCACGGTATTTTGTCAATTTCTTTCATATTCGACCCGAATATCGCAGTGGCTAGTATACCTGCCTCCTTCGCCAGTTCCGTTTTTAGATAAACAATTGTTCAGAACACAGGATTATAAATGTAAAGAAGTAAAGCGGAGAAAAAACAAAATCAATTGCAAACGATGCTTTAGTTTCTAGTTTACAGTTTAAAATTACTGATTGCGGTTGACTGCGAGGTTTTTTATTATTACACAATAACAAAAAACCTCGCAGTCTTGTTACTCAAAGTAAAAACGTTTATTTTTTAGTGGACCCTGGTTATTAAATATACTATCATAAAACAAGTTTGTTTTTATCAATATGGCTGTTATAATAATATTTTTTTAACTATGATGATATACATAAGCTAAATTTCCAGTTCAATATTAAAGTTATAAGTCCGATATATAGAAAACACTCTAATCTCAACAAAAAAGAAGGTTACATGTTACCATTTATAAAATTTGTTCTAGGCACAGACGAACCAATACAAAACAAGATATTTTTTTTCTCGAAAAATATAATGTTTGTTGATTAATTCATTAGTGATTTTTCTTTAACGTTTAAATTCTTTTTTAATTGCAATATCAACTTCTAAATTTGTTGAACATTTGCCGAAAGTTGGAATATAATATCAAATCTCATTTTCCTTTTTTTTTCCACAGACTTTGAGCCGAGGCCTTCAAAATCTGGCCACTCCCTACCATTGGCCAGATTTCTGCGGACCAGCCTTATGGCAGTGGGAAGGCTACCGGATCAGATGTTCACAACCCTCCTGACGAACTTCTTAGTGTTTATGACTGGGGACGTCCTTTCTTTACACGACACCGGTAAGTTTTCTTTCCTAGTGCTTATGCTCATCACTACTTAGTATAAAACAGCTTTTATAATAGTAGTTGTCCCCCTGTCTGTTAGCCCTATGTATGCTTAGAACTTTAAAACTACGCAACGGTTCTTGAAATGGATTTTTTACTAGATAGAGTGATTCAAGAGGAAGGTTTATATGTACAATACATTGCACCCGTGCGAAGCCGAGGCGGGTCGCTAGTTAGATAAATGATACAATGTCTCCATAGAATAATAACAGCGTGACAGCCCGAGTGTAACTGAGGTTCAGGCTAGGCGCTCCGAACACCCAGCCACCTCAAGTCCGGTGCATCTCTTAAGGACCCTAAGGCCATCAGTGGTAGATGCTGCCAAATAAAAATGTCTAATGTTTTAATTGTGTATATTTGAATCAGCTTATCTAAAAATCCATCTTACTCGGAATGAAACTTTTTTTTGTTTTGGTTTGTTCCTCGAGATTGCGGAAGAAGCCTACGCTTACAATTTTACTTAATTATTTTTTTCTTAACGGGCTTTTTTTAATAATAGCTTCATTAATTGGCAGATAATTCAAATTTAGCAGAACTAATTTTTGCCTAGGAAAACATTTACTTTTAATAACATATTATACATATTTAACGGTGGCTTGGATGGCACAGTAACCTTTGATTTCAGGGCCACGGGTTGTGGTTTCTATTCCGTCACAGGATACATGTTTGTGATGTTCACTATTATATTACTTTCAACAGAATATTCTATTCCTAAGCAACAAACTGTGCGTGTGTACCTATGTCACTGAACTCCTCCTAAACGGCTTGTCACACAACGGACCCTTGAAAATAGGTAGCGATCGAGAGAATTCTAAAGCATCAAATGAAAAGGAGTAGAAAGAGGTTCTATGGAAGGGAAATCAACTTAATTGTGAAAATTTTAGTTTTCTTTATCCATAGGGTTTAAGAAAATTTGTAATAAGTGTGCTTTGCTAGACAAAGCTTTATATGATGTCTGTTATTATAAGTCTAAATTTAGATAATCCGCCACGGATGTTTAAAGTTATGTGATATCACTAGCTATTTTACGACATAAGCTGCAAATAAAGAGTTGGACGGTACTAACAGAAATTTAATAAAGTTAGTGTACATTAAAATAACCTAAAATGTAACACACAATAAAACATATGTTTGCAGTGAAATTTATTGCATGGAAGCCTTACTGCTGCCTGCCGAAAGGTAAAAAAGACAGAGACTGCACCCCTAACAAGATACCGGACGATGATCCAGTACATCGGTTCTCCGACATCAGGTGCCTGAACATGACGAGACCCGAAAGCTTCCAGTCCATCGGCTGCATCAAAAACGACACAGTTCCCGAACGGGTGAGAAGCGATACTACCGACAAGATTTATGGCATCAGATAATATAACCGGGAGATTTTGATTCGAGTTAGTGATTTGTCGCAAGCGGAGGTGTATAAAATTATGTGTTAATTCATTTAACTTACTAAAAATACACAGTAAATACATTGCAGGAACTGTAACCTAATAGGCAGCATCTCATGCTTTTCCCCACCATACCGGGAACGTATGTGAGTTGTGAAGTCAACATCATCCTCCTGCCCTTATCCCAACTAGATGGGGTCGGCACAACAAATGAATTATAATTATGGTTTGGACTAAGTATTTTACGACCGGCCACCTGTCTGACTTCAAGCCTCCTTGGGAACAAACACGCATATCCGGAACAATTTTATGCGTATCACAAATACTCGTCCCGTGTGGGAATCGAACCCACGACCATCTGCCCCGAAGCCTTAGCATCTGCCCCACCAGGTCATATGTGATCAGTGATGTGCTCATAGAAGTCGGAACGGAAAATTCATTGAATTCTTTGACGCACAGCCCTGGGATTCAAACCTTTGAACTTAAGTGGTAATTCTGTGGGCCCAAACACTAGGCAACCATTTACAAACAAATTGAGTTACGAAACAATCAAAAGTACTGAGAACGATCTCGCACAAACCGCAGATCGTGTCGGCGACACCGGCGTTCGACCTGTCAACGGTTTATGGGAATACATTAAAAGCATTAATGGAGAAGGGGCGCCTGTTTCAACGGGGTTTGCTGAAGTACGAAGTGGAAAATGGCAGGGTCTGGCCTCCGAGTGTCAAAACCGGCGGAGGGGTTTGCTTCTTGAACCAAAGACCGCTGGAGAGCCGCTGCCACGATACACGTAAGTTTGAACTCTTCCAAAAATTATTTTCCTGATCAACTTGATGCTTCAACCAACATGTCCTTATTTAAACCCCTGCGCCTAGTAAAGAAGGCTATAGAAGTATTTTTACATTTCTAAAATCAAGTAACTAGTTGTACTATTTTTAAATCGCCTCCACGATAAGTAAATGTTTCGTTCAATTGGAAAATAAATTGAACATAAAAACAGTGCAAGGATATTTATTTTTAGACGTTAAATATATACACTAATACTAAACATGTTGGTTTAATATCAATTGCTGAGAGTTCTATTCGGAACTATATGTTTTACTGTTTATATTCTTTCAGCCGAGGACGGTTCTAACAGCCTAGCCGGTATAAATCTTATGACGATCTGGATGTGGAGACACCACAACCTGATCGCCGCCGAACTGGCACACATCAACCCCTGTTGGAGCGACGATAAATTGTTCTACACCGCACGTGACATTAATATTGCTATTACCATGCAGATATTCTACTACGAGCTGTTGCCAGCGGTTTTTGGTACTTTGTTCTTATTCACTGTTTTAAAAAAGTATTCCAGAAATAATATACAATTGTGTAAAATATTTCTTAGGTATGATTTGATTGCTTAATATTCGTAAGAAGGTTCGGTCTCGATGTGTCTGAAATTAGTTCAGGATACCTGGTTATGAAATATAATGGGGTGTTCTTAACCGATAAGTACGATATAAATGTATTATTTATTAACTTACTTATTTTTCTATAGATTCTGGTAAATAAAATGTATACTGCACCCTTATGCTATTTAATGTGTGAGCCAACTCATTCGGGGAAGTACCAAGACTTTTTTTATGTGAAAATTTGCCAAGCGAGCAGACGATTCACCTGATGTTAAGTGAATACCGCCGCCCATGGACATCTGCTGCAACTGAGGGTTCCAGATGCATTGACAACCTTTTAAAAATTGGGCTCTAGCCTCCGCACTCACCAGACGAAACGCGAAATTATTATACTTCCACTTCATTGAACACCGATGTTACCTAACTTTTAGAATTACTTCATCTGAGTCACCAAGGCTCATCCTCTAAAAGGTTGGTAGAGTGTCTGTAGTGTAATTACTGCACCAGTTTTCTGGATATCCATGGGCTGGGATGATCACTTGATATCAAATGATCTGACCATTTTCCGTATTGTTTAGTAACAAGTAATTTTTTTTACTAACGAAAAACAAAACTCGCTCTGTATTCATTATCAATATCATAAGTTGATTTCAAAGAGTTTCCTATCCCCGGATCCCAAGACCCAATACCATTGAATCCAAACCAATACGATAAAAAATAATCATCAAAATCGGTTCGCTCCGTAAAAGTTCTGAGGTAACAAACATAAAAAAATACAGTCGAATTGAGAACCTCCTCCTTTTGAAGTCGGTTAAAACGCAAATATTACCAATCCACTTTTGAAATTATCAACTGAATTTTTTTTTAGGTCGCGAGAATTTAATAAGAGATGGCGTGTTATCGCCGACGCCCGGTTTCAGGGATTATTACAACGCCAATCTATTTCCACAAATATCACTCGAGTTCCCATTCGTACTACGTTGGTTTCACACAACGCAGGAAGGAAACTAAAAGTGAGTTTTGGGAGTTGATTTGGTGATTAGTCTCCCACAATACGTTATAAAAAAGCCTGCCAAGTGCGAGTCGGACTCGCGCACGAAGGGTTCCGTACCGTATGTATGAAAACGGCTAAAAAAGTGTGATGTATAGGAGCCTCCTTAAATATTTTTTATTCTGTCTTTTAGTATTTTTTGTTATGGCGGAAACAGAAATACGTCATCCTTCAAAATTTCAACTGTTTAACTGTCACAGTTTATGAGATACAACCTGATGACAGACGGATAGACAGACAAACAGACGAACGGACAGACAGACTGACAGCGAAGTCCTAGGTCCCGTCCGCGAAAAGGGTCCTGCTTTACCCTTTGGGTACGGAACCCACACACATCTACACACTTCATTTGTATTAACATGACAAGTTATGGTGAAAAAGAAGATTATTCGTACGGGATTTTAATCGAAAATTGCGATATAAGAAATTATTAAAATTATCTCGCTATAAATTGTTAATAACTTTCCAGCTTTTACGACACTCAAGGCAACTATTTGAAGAAAGTTCCTATAGTGAATCTCACGTTAAGGACTGGATTCTTCGGCGTGGACGATAATATGGATTACGTGACCCAAAGTAATTTCAGGCAGGGGGCTGCTAAAATAGACTATATTGTGGACCCTGACGTAAGTGTTGACATGTTTTTATTGCTCCAATTTATTTTAAAAAAATCTGTGTATCTCTCGTTCTCTTTCCTGTACATCATCTCCTGGATAAACCTGTACATGGTCACAAATAGATAACTTGGCGATAGGAGATGACTAGTACGATAGCAAAACCATAATCTACAAAAAGATTATGGTACTGCTACCGTAGTAGTCATCACCTAAAGTATTTTATTATTACGTAATGACAATGAAATATATTGTGTGATGAACATAGTGTTTTACTAGTGTCTGGGTGTTTATATAAATTAATTACATTATGTATTTATTTACAAGAGAAAAGTATGTTTAGGTATGTTTATCAGTTATCTAGTACCCATAGCACAAGCGTTGCTTAGTTTGGGACTAGAGAACGCTGTGTTAAAATGTGTCCTAATATATTTATTATTTATTTATTAGTATCTAATCAACCATGAAAGGAAACCGCTTTTAATATTACAATTTTAATTATTAAAGATAGTAGAGGTTGGTATGGGACCTCATCAGCGTGCTACCGACCTTCTGACGAACGATTTGGCCAAGAACCGATACTTCGGCTTCCCGCCTTACATCAAATACAGAGAGTTGTGTTTCAAGCAATCCTTCAAGACCTTCGACGACTTGCTTCACGCCATCGATCCCGAGGTAAATAAGCGTATTTAATAAAGCCCTTATAAGGTAGTATGGTACCACCCTGAGGTCGTTGGACAAATCTCAGCGATGTATACCGATTTAATTCTAATTTTCTTATTTCTAATAATTGACTAATTGAACAAAGTCAAACGTAAATCTTCATTGTCAGTTCAGCCTGGCTTACTCCACAGCCAACCAACCACCCAACGACGCACATTTGCACGACTCTTCACTACAACTAGTGGGGGGATTAGGCTACCATTCGAGAAACCTTTCTTCCCCATTGGTTATAGGCTCTATGAACTGTATGCCCGGCTCAATGTTATACCCCTGCTTATACCGGCCCCGGCTTCGCAAGGGTGCAATTTTGAATCTTTGTTTTCTAAATTGCATTAGAAATCTTTAAAATTATCAGTGTTTATCTACTATATTTTGCATGAATTATATATATAAACCTTCCTCTTGAATCACTCTATATATGAAGAAAACTGCATCAAAATCCATTGCATAGTTTTAAAGATCTAAGCATATATGTATAGGAACAGACAGACAGCGGGACGACTTTGTTTTATACTATGTAGTGATATTTATATAATTTCTACCCGTATATAAGACAACCGGAGATTTTCACGCATAAAATTTGTCAACTTGCAATCCTACAGGTATTACGAATTACGTTGGCAGTTAGGTAGGTACTTACGTAACTATATCGACCTTCTCTTATTACAATAATTAAAATCTTAGAAAACGCCACGATTGTTCCCTCTAATTTTTTTCATGTGCAGTTGCCGCATTTTAAACTTGTAACTTTAATCGTTTCAGAGAGTGGAGCTACTGAAAGAAGTGTATGAAAATTTAGAAGACGTTGATCTCATTGCTGGTATTTGGCTAGAAAAATTGATAGAGGGCGGCCACGTACCAGCTACTTTGTATTGCATTGTGGTCGATCAATTGCTCAGGACTGTCGCGTCTGACCGGCATTGGTACGAGAGACCTCAACGACCGAATGCCTTTACTTTTGGTCCGTGCCTATTTTTATTCTATTTTACTTATCATGTATGTGAGCCGTAATAGCGCAGTTTCCGGGCGCTCGGCTTTAATTTAATATCCTCGAGAAACCTTAGTTCGATCCCCGATGCCCGCACCAATGAAATTGTTAATTTTAAGAGCTGACTCATAAAAGTAATAAAAAATAAGTGAAAGTAAAAGAAAAACAAAGGAATTTATAAATAATGATGTGGCGACGGATGATCACAGCATAATATGCCTCGCATTATTGCGCCGCTAATTTTCAGTCCGACCAAGCAGTACCTTTTTTCTTTATTATTATCCCTTGCTATATAATGTAGATGGGTAATCCATCGGTTTCACGAATTTGAAATCCAAAAGTGGGCTTCTAAAAGATCCTTTTGAATTTCGAACTTCTTGCAAACTGGTATTCATCACTATAATGTTGGGATGTTTTAAAAATAGAATTATCAAACTAACTAATCAACTTATAGTGGTGACTTATTTTAACAGAACAACTCCAGGAGATAAGGAAGGCGACCGTTGCGCGCCTGATGTGCAACGTCGGTGATAAAGTCACTCGGATTCAGCGTCACGCTTTCTACAGGATTAGTACACGGTAATTTATTTAAACTAAATAAATACCATTAAACGTAGGACATTTAGTAACTCTTGAATAAGAGTGCTCGTTGTAAGAATTAGCCAGTTCGACCGGGAAGTACACCGCTTTACTATTGATCTTTTCAGCCTAAAGTAAATATATTTATATTTTTGCCTTTAGTGCAGATTAGTAGTGAGGTGACCAATGTGGGTTTCTCACATTCTAAGTGAATGGTACCACGCTTTCAACTGAAATATATTGCTGGTGTATCAGACGGGGCTTTATACTTGTGAGTGTCCATGATCCGCGCATCTCACTTATAATTTTTCTACCATCCTCTATTCTCGCGTCTCAACTCTCAACTCAAAATCTATTAATCATCACATACACGATTAATTGTTTACACTATTTTTATCTAAAATATTGTTTACTCTGTTTTTCATTATTCTCTGAACATCTTTAGATAATATTAAATGATAATCTAAACTATGCAATGTTAAAAAATATCAATTGATAACATGTCTGTTTTTTTATTTCCAGTAACCCGTTACAAGACTGCGAGAGAATTGAGTTTGTTAACCTTGGGGCATGGAAGGATGAGAGATGTCATGTATCAGCACCACAATTTGACCCTATTTATAAACCAGCGTTCTTTTTTCAAAATCAGTTTCTTGGAAAATAGGGAAATTAAAATGGAATATAGTATATATACTCTACATATAAGACTGGCAAAAAATAATTTGGCATATGTACCGTGTATGCATATGGATGCATTTAGTAAAAAGCGGTTATTTTCATATCACAAACAGTGACTCTAATTTCATTTATCTGTATAGATGTATAGATAACTTTAGACATCGAATGTGAAATTCAATGATGCACCTCTCCTCATTTTATTTCATTGCCAACATTTAATACATTTAATACATTGCTTGATAAAAGCTTGTTAAAAATATTATCAACTGCCAGTTCCAGGCATTGAGATGTTTTTTTACCCCTGGATAGTTTTGGACATACTCGTAGCCTCCATCGATCTTCCTCAGTGCACAAATACCATGTTGTGTATCATCAGCGATCCGGTTCAAGCGAACTTGTTGAGAACTCTTAGGCTGTCGTGTTTTTTCTAGTTTCTGTCTGTTTATATATTTATTTATTTCCAAAATAAATGTATGTTTGAGTATATGTAGTTATCACTATGTAAAACTGAGTCTTGGAATATTTAATTAATAATCCTAAATAATTATAAAAAAATAATTCGTCGATTGGCGTGGCGAGGAGCGAAACTGCCTCTTGCATCAGACGGTACGAGTTCGTTGACCACTACTGGAAAAATATTGTGTGATGAAATATAGCGTTTTTCGTCTTTTAGTCTGAGTGTTTACAAAAGAAAATTATGTTTATGTAACTTTATAAGTTATCTAGTACCCATAGTACAAGCGTTGCTTAGTTTGAGACTAGAGAACGTTATGTAAAAATGTGTCCTAAAATATAAATTTATTTATATTAATGTAATTTACGTAAACAAGTGGATATAAACAGCAAACTTAATTCACGTAACTAACGCATAATTAATCTATCGCCTTCTTTATTGAATAAATCAATTTCAACGTGCATTCAAGAGAATAGGAAGTTAGACACTGAGGAATGAATAGATTTTAAGTAAGGACACAATTAAAAGAAAGCAATCGTATATAATGACTTATATATTGCGCTAAATAACACATTGTTTTATTTTATTCACTGAATCACCCTATAACTCTTTTGCATGATCCTTCTAACTATAATAGACTAGATTTCATAGTTAATTCCATTGATAAGACCATAAGAACCGTGGATATAAAGAGTGTAAATATATATATATATATATATAAGAATGCGTATGATAATAATATAATGTATATATATATATATATATATACATTATATTATAATATAATGTATATATATATATATATATATACATTATATTATAATATAATGTATATATATATATATACATTATATTATTATCATACGCATTCTTTAATGCAAACGATGTCTATTAACGACAGTCATTACTCATTTAGTCTAGATAAAGTAAACAATAAAGTGCGATGTTTGTCATTTATTCATAATTTTATTACGGCTATATAAAAACCTATCTGATCGACGACAGGTGGATTAAATTTCTCACGAAAACCAATTTGAGCACGTTCAAAAAATCCTGTTTTTAATCCATCGTCCGCGCGAGTGGCCTATGCAAAATACCGTTTATTGACACGAGAAATTCTATTTAAATACTAAACTTGCTATTAGTCGGGGTCGTTTTAAGCATACAGAAAAACAGACACTCTAAGTTCAACAATTGATAACGTTCATTGATTAATAAGCACTGAAAGCTTAGGTGATAGGTTTTAATGTTAGGGTTCTTTCTAAAGAAAAAAAAACCTATGTGCGATGAATGTGCTCTTAAGTGTTTTAAATCGTGGAAAATTTGGTAGGTGCTTTAACTGTTTACTACTGACCAACGAATTAAGTCCTTAAATTTTATGCATTCAGCTTATAGCCGTAAACTGGTCTTTAAATAGAGATAACGATTTCTGAACTGAAAGTCATATAGTTCGGTGCACCCCATTTGGATTCAAACCCGTGACCATAGTGTAGAAAGCTCAACGCATCAGCTACTAGTCCAGTATATACTTATGAGTTTGCATATATTAAGAAAAGGATGAGGTAAATTATAATCTCTCGCGGTCATTCAACCTGTTGAGTGTTAACTGTTGTGTTCATCCTTACGGTACATTAAATTCGAGTTTTTTTTTTCGCTTCTTAAAACTGAAACTGGCAATATTGTAATAGGACAACTGTTCAACGAAAACTTATGCTCTTAGTTGTATTCTGATGAGTATGTCAGCATATATGTCTGTGTAATATTTCGATGCATTTCAAAAAACAATAACATGTTTTCAAAACTGTTAAAACAGTGTCACCGCAAAATCAGTAATCAGTCTTGTATGAGTTGCATACTTGACAACAGTGTGAAAATAGCAAAGAGATACTATTCTATCAAGTCACTAGAACTGTCGTATGTCTGATTGACTCAGAAACAACTTGCCGAAAGCCGTCATGAATCAGCTTTATTGAAGTGCAGTTTATATTCACCTGTTTTTTTTTTAACCTGAACAACTCCTACCTACGGAATCCTCTTAAGTGTGCCTATTTATAATCGGACGACACTTATCGCGCTCATCTCGTAAATAAGCGACGCCGAGAGACACTGGCCGTTTTTCAATAATTGCCGGAAACCTGTTCCCGCATTCTCGCTCCGAAGCGAAAAGGCAAAACCCTTATATTTGCAATAACACCAACATTCGGGCTCGAGCTCTTCCGCAGTTAACACTTCTTCATCGATGAAAATTTTATTCTGATCAATTTCAAAAATGTCACCACTGTTAATACAATTCGTTTTGTTCTTCGCCTGTGCTACTTCGTCATTCGTCGTTTTCGATTCGTACACTGGGACCCCAATAACGCTGGAGGAACTTAAACGTCACGATAAAAGAAATACAACATTGTAAGTAACGTAATTGAATTTAGTTCAATCTTTAAATATTAAGATGTGGCGCGCGTTCATTTTACTATTTTCAGCTCGTAGCTCGAAATTTGAATTCTCGCGTCGAATTCATTGATCAAATAGAGCCCAAGATGATTCGAATATTTGAAGGTAAACTGAAATCACTCCTAACACAATGTTTAAACTAAAATGTGTATTATAAAAATCCACGTCGTCTTCCCCTTTTGTAAATGCATTCAAAACATTTATAATAAAAACAAATTATGCAACAAGATCGATTTAAACTTAAATAAACCGTAGTATGCCTGTATATAGTTTATATACAGGCATACTACGGTTTATTCAAGTATTATATATTTATCAAATTGATATTGTTTTCCTGACCTTTATTTAACGTTTTTTTGTAGCTGGTGTACCAGCCAATTCTTCCCCTGCAATCCTTATGAAGTAAGGCGCGTTGATGGTTCCTGCAACAATTTAAATTTCCCTACGAGAGGAATGAGTCATACACCACCTTACAGACTGCTGCCCCCTGCGTTTGATAAAGGTGTAGTAATAATTTGATAAGAAACTCCTAATGATAGAGTCCAAAATATTATATTAAATTTAATTTAATCACATAAAAAATTGGATGCTAATCTTCAAACACACTTGTACGTACTTTTCCCTTCGGAGAGTTTCATAAACATAAATTTCACGTGGACAAACATCCAGATCAGAAACAATTATTTGTGGGTCACATAAATACTTGACCCGAGTGGGAATCAAAGCCACGACTCAAGGTGCCGAAGCCAATACCTTAGCAACTGCGCCACGGAGTCATCGATTTATAAGCAGGGTTTTTAGAGTTGTTGTTCAAAATTGTACACTGTTATTTATTTGTAATAATACATTTAATTACATAATAATATTTGTAATCACACCCCTGATATAAACACTTATTTTTACAAACATGTGCGTGATTATTTCAATTCAAATAGTAGCTATCTCAACAATATTAATTCTAGATTTCGAACCACGGTTATCCAAGTCCGGTAAAAGTCTACCACTTGCAAGATTCTTGAGAAAGCGTCTTCTCCAAGATGGGTTTGTGCCAGATCAGAAATTTACGCAGCTCTCCTCCCATATCTTATTACTGTGGAGTGGTGATGTTCTCTCATTTCACGATACCGGTAAGTGTGTTAAATAGACAAATGTAACTCATACAAGATTTTCCATGTTTAATTGATCATAAACTTGTCAATATGTTTATACCATTAGATATGTCCAAAAAGGACATGCTTATAATTATGTATTCCCGTTCAACAAAATCTTCTTTTTATATGTATTCCTGACATAGTATCTTCTTTAAAGTTAATATATATACACCAACTACAATCACTAAAAGATTTAAATATGTCTGAGGGGGGCCTATGTTCAATACTGGACTCAGGCTAAATTTATGATGCCTCACTGGACATTTCGTAACGAATTCTCAACGATTCTAGTTAAATATGTTCTGTGGAAGCCCTACTGTTGCACGGCTAAGGGCAAAACGGACCGTGACTGTGTGCCTAATAAAATACCGGATGACGACCCAGTCCACCGTTTCTCCAATATCAGATGCCTTAATATGACCAGACCGGAGAGTTTTCAGTCCATCGGTTGCGTCAGACCCGATACGTTTCCGGAGCGGGTATGTCTAATTTAAATTTTATGCCATTCATCAAACGTGTTTCAGACTAATTTAATTCTTTTTATTTATCATATCACAATTAACTCCTTCATCCCTCTCGCTTTAATTTTATCTTTTTGATAGATTAACAATGACTCTTCGATATAATCATTGAAAATTGTTTTATGAAGGAAACAATGGGCGATTATTTATGATTTCGAATTCTAGATAATCGGCGCAACACCAACTTTTGATGTCTCTTCCGTTTATGGCAATTCCCTCAAGGCCTTGTTCGAGAAGGGTAGGAAATTCGAAGGCGGTCTCTTGAAGTACGAAGTGGAAAATGGAAAAATATGGCCGCCCAGTGTGAAGACACCTGTGAGCGTTTGTCTGCTCAATCAAAAACCTCATGAGACCCGTTGTCATGACACACGTACGTAAACCGATTATTGCCTGTGTAAATTGAAACAAATTTTGATTTTGATTTTGAAATTTTACTCAAAGTATTGACCGCATGGCTATTTACGACAGAAATTATGCAATGTTGTGTGATATTATGTGTTATTTCGATTTTGTATTTGTGATGTCATACCGTGTGACCGCTTTTAATACTTCCTTTCATATACTATTCCATCTCGAAGACTTCATATCTCTAGCACAAAATATTACCACATTGTTTAGACAGTGAAACGAGAATACTTCAGATGAGTTTCACAGGGATGAATTCTGACAACCTGGACGGCAGGGATGACGGTAGATTTTATAAAAAGCATGAGGTATTCATGTGGAAGTCTGCAGAAGTTTAAATCTCAAGTAAAATAAAATAATGCGATATAAGTTATTTGATTTTAGCGGAGGACGCAAGCAATAGCGTAGTTGGTGTCAATCTTGCTGTTATTTGGTTCTGGAGGCTTCATAATAGAATTGCAACGGCATTGGCACGCATCAACCCCTGCTGGGATGACGATCGGCTCTTCTACACCACTAGGGACATTGTGATTGCCATCGAAATGCAAATAATGATGTATGAGTTATTACCAGCGTTTATGGGTAAGCATTGAGATGAAATTCGATATTTTAAATGTCCTTTTATCTTTTTTTTTTCTTTTTTATTTGATGGAGGGGGATAGTTACATTTGAAGACGTAACCCGCATAATAATAATTAATTACCACATTCAATAACATGATAATAATAAACAATAGCATAATCAAGAAGTAATCACATGGTTCTTTATTCCTATTTTTGTCAACTTGTACGTGTTCAGTAATTTGGCTTCCGCTCAGTCCATTTTATGTCCTTTCCATCTTATTTGATCACAATACGAATTTTAACACTAATAAAACAAAGAAACAAATTCGTAAAATATAGTATTTAATTATAATTATCCTTATTGTTTAATTGTAAATGTTGAATGCAAAATAGCAAGAAATATATTGATTTGTCATTGGCGGAAGTAATGGTGCTTTTCTAGATGGCAAATAAATTTAAGAATGTGTCAAGAAAGTATTACTTTTATACATAATATTTTTTTTTTCCGAGTATGATGCAGAAAGAAAAACCAAAGTTTTTAAAGGATTTCATTAGCAGTTATTACAGGTTCGTGTATTTTGTCTATTTTATCAGGTAAATCAAACTTATTAAGAGATGGTGTCATAACAAATAATTTGGGATACAGAGATTTGTATAATGAAGATGTTATACCCCAAATATCCCTGGAGTTTCCTTCTGTTCTTCGCTGGTTCCACACTGTGCAGTCGGGATCTATGAAGTAAGTCACTTCAGAAAAAAGTTTAACAATATTTAAAATAATACAGTTAATTTATCAATTGGTATTATTACATAATCTGAAAATTCCGAATATAATCAGTTTAGATTATACCAAAAGGTAATTTAAAAAAAAAATAGGATTAACGCGGCTACCCAGAAATCTACGTATTTTAGACTTGTTACGGACATTAGAAAAACTATATTCTTCATTCAATATTTTTCCAGTTGTAGTTTTCGAACCCATGCTCTCTGCCGCAAGAGGCAGGTTGAGTATCCACTACCCCAAGCGGGTCATCAAAATATTCATTCATATGTTATTGTGTTATATTGGAATTTATTGGTTAAATAACCAAATATAAAAAACTTGCAGTCAGTTACAATACGTATTTGATTCCCCACCCAAGCGTAGAAATGTTTTAATCATTAGTCTTAATATTTTGTAGGTTGCTTAGTCGTTATTTTATTTGTGTAATAGTTTGGATTATTTCCAGAATGTACGATGCACAAGGTTACTTCTTGAAAGAGATTCCAATCGCAAACCTGACCCTTAGAACCGGATTCCTTGCTGTGGACAATAATATAGATCACATGACACAAGGCAGCTTCAGACAGGCCTCCGGAAAAGTCGACTATGCCGTTGATCCAGAAGTGAGTTCTAAATTCAAATAGGAAATTCTTCTTGCGTATTATTGCATTGAAATGCTTATTTCTTACCCTTTACATTTTTATTTTTTGTCCATCCAGATGATTTTGTTCTTTTTTCCCTTTTTTTAAAGTTCTTTCTTTTGTGAAAAGCACCAGTTCATATTTTCTTATTACTAAGTCGGTCAGATCGAAAAATATTATGTTCATCATGTTTTATTACTCAGTAATTTGTATCTAAATGTAACTTCCAAAATACACGATTTACCAAAAAAAAAAAACAAACCTCCTCCAGGTACTACTTGTAAATACTCCAACATGATTTAATCTCTTTATATAGGGCAATATAAACTTAATACTACAGAGAAGGCAGTAAAAATAAATTTACTTGTTTAAAAAAATATTTCAGTTTGGGGAAAGCAGTCTCGGTCCCCATCAGAAAGCGTCCGATGTTTTCACGAATGACTTGGCCAAAAACCGTTACTTTGGTTTCCAACCTTACGTCAAATACTTGGAGCTTTGCACCAGGCGCCCATATAAGAAATTTGAAGACTTGCTGTACGTCATGGATCCGGAAGTAAGTTTCAGGTTGAGTGTTATTTAAATAAATTTTGGTTTACCATTAAAATTTGTAGGAAAAAGTACGAAAAGTTTCTCGCCGCTGCGCGCTGTGCGCCTTGTGTTAAACGTCCGCCTTGTTTTTCGGGCTGGCTTACAATGTACACAAAAACAACTGTTTTTCCAATGAGATAATCATAACGAATAATAAATATCCAATTATACAAATTATAGGACAAAATTTCTTCCAAATTGATATCAATAATTTCTTTAATATTTATTTAAAACGTAATCATGATGCGAAATGGAAACCATGATGTTCAAATACTGTTCGTATTATTAATACTGTTTGTTAACTTAATACTATTTATATGAGTTTATTGTGCATAGATCACTTGTTAATTAAATAGTTATCAGTTTAACTAAATTCTGCGGACCTATTCAATATTTGTAATAACTGTGATGGACAAATATTTGAATAGAGATATTTGACCGAACCCTGTTTCAAAATGCGGAATATCGTAGCGATTTAATCTGAACTCTGAGTGCTTCGTCACATTTCAGCCATGTCTTAACCAAAAGCTATTTCAGTCGAACCTAGGTTGACAAGGGAACATGAACATAACCCAAAACACTTTGGAACTTTAAAATAGGTTACGTAATTTTAAAGGGAAGTTAAATTTGTTTGCGAAGAGACTTCATTAATAAAGTGTGTGTTTGTAGTATTTATTTTTAGGAAATAAGGAACACTCGCATTCAACATACTATTAAGACTGCATCCGTTAGAACTACACTTCACAACACGGTTTCAATGGCTCATAACCAACAAGGTCCATCACAAAGAGTGCATGTATAGCAGAGATGGAAATTAAAGTTCAAAACTAAATAAAATAGAAAAATATTTATAGATTATATGATAATAACAAATTGGTTGAGGGAGTTAATTCTTAAAACAGGTTAAGCATTTTTGAACTAAGGTATGCCCTATGCCCAATATAAGATTGCCTCAGAAAAAGCAGGTAGGTACCATAATATTGTACCGTTGTATTACAAATAGTTAACAGAAATTCTATTTCCCAACAGAAAATAGAGATACTTCAGGAGCTATACGATAATCTAGAAGACGTGGATCTTCATTCCGGTTTATGGACGGAGAGGTTCGTTGGGGGTGGTCACGTACCATCGACGCTATATTGCGTTGTGGTGGAGCAGATGCTACGTACCATCATATCCGACAGACATTGGTACGAGAGGCCAAATAGACCAAATGCATTTACTTTGCGTGAGTACACTTCATTTTATTATAAAATATTTTATACAAACGGTGTTAAATAGTGCATACTATTAGATAAATAATATTTTATTACTGAGTAAGTGCGAATAAATCAAAGTTAGTCTTCAATGAATTATTACTCATACTCAGCTTAAGCTTTAGCAGAACCTTCCCTTGGGAATGATCAGAAGGATTTCTGGTAACAGAACAATTTATCCTGGACCACGGCCACTAAGAAGTTTCTCTAAAGGGAGAATTATTTAAGTTCTAACAGGTGTCTTGGATATCCACGAGAAGCGTAAATAATCGAATGACATCAAAATCTCGCCCCGTGCCACCTGTCATTGCCACTACTACTAAAAGGCAAATTCGTTTTCACTTCAGACTCTTATTATTGTTTCATGTAACTTATGTTAATTTGTTAACAGAACAACTCCTTGAGATCCGAAAGATTAGCATAGCAAGAGTGTTATGTGACGTCGGGGACAGCGTGACTAGAATCCAGAGAAATGCATTCTTGCGTTTCGGGCAAAGGTCTGAATATGAACGTTTTATCATGTAGTTTATAAGCATATTACGAAAGAACAATCAAAAATATCATATTTTAACTGATTTAAGGTAATCTGCTGCTAATGCTGTGTACAATGGTCCTCTATACAAAACCATTAGTAGGTTGCCCATCAGATTATACTAAACTGTAATAAAATTTTAGGATATCTAGATGTATTCACAGTTAACAAGAAATATTAAATATATTATACCCACTGCGTTAGGGCTACGCGGTAGCTTCCGCTGTTGCACAAATGGGCAGGTCCGTCAGGGTAAGTACCACGATCTCGCAGAAGACCGGCGTGAAGTGGAAGTGTCGCACTTCCGCTTTTCATCTGGTGAAAGAGGTAGCGGGGCCCACTTTATTAAAAGATGGCAACGCATCTGCAACTCTACGGGTGTTGTAAATTTCTATGGGCGGCGGCTACCACTTAACATCAGGTGAAGGGTTAGCTCGCTTGGTACCTTCTCAAAAAAATTTTTGTCATGACAGTTCATTGGTGGGGCGATTAATTGAATAAAATGGTATAATACATATTGTCTTAACTACGAATGTAGACACTTTGCTTGCCTCTCATCTAAGGGGTACTTCGGCATCGGAGGCAGCTGAAGTAAGTAAATGGCGCAAATATGTTTTGTGTATGTATTTGTGCCATTTGCTGTTGAAACATTAGGTCCGTGGGGTCGCCGCACATCAAAATTTTTTAAAAAGTTTATGTCCTAGGCTAAACGCCGCGGCTGGTGACAAGAGAGCTGGTTCTTTTCTCGCTCAAAGGTTAAGCATAACTATTCAGCGAGGAAATGCAGCTAGCGTTCTTGGCACCATGGCGCGTGGATTAGGTTTATTAGATAATATGTAATTTTAGATTTAATCTTGTAAATATTAGATCAATAAAGATTGCCAATGTAACTACGAATTGGATGAGCAATGATTTCTTTACAGCAACCCTATTATTGGATGCAACGAGATCGAGGGAATTGACCTTTGGGCCTGGGAAGACAGCAATTGCATTAACGACGGTTCTTTTCATGGTCCAGATTACAAACAGAAAAATCAGCCAATATGAATATCCCTCGTGACTTGAAGCTCTGCACTGAACTAATTTGTCTGCGAAAAATGTCTTCCGATACATGTGTGAATGAATCTTGTCAATTGACTAATTATTTATGCTATAATTATTCTTGAGTTTATTTTAATATAAACTAAACTTATGACCAGAATGATGCTACTTTTTGTTTATTTTCTGTTTAAACATTCTTACTAATATATTTAAGGTATTCTAAAATAATTTTAAATATTCCGAAGTGGTTATTCAGAAAAAAAAAAAGTTTTGTTACTATCTGTCGCTTCCAGCGTGACGGTACTGAATATTCTAAGCTTGGATAGTACATTGCTAATGACAATAACATCACAGTTTGTTATAATATCAATAATTACTTAAAATATGTTAGAGCAGACTTTTACCTAAATTTCTCATCCCATAAAAGTTTATCAAACGTGACGGTACCAAAGAGTCTTAATTGGCTCGTAAACTCAATGTGAAGTTGGCACAAGGGCGTTGGGGCTGGTCATGTGTGAAATTGGACCAGAATTTAATAAAACTCCTATTACAAATTAAAAAAGTAAAAAAAGTACCTAGTTTATACATGTCCCACTGCTGGGCAAAGGCCTCCACTATACAGAGGGTATCAGGGCATAGTTCATCACGCGGCCCCACTGCGGATTGGCGGACTTCACATATTTTCGACATATATATATATTTTTTGTTATTATTTATATAAATAAAATGCGGGTTATACGAAAATATGCGGGTTTCCTCGCGATGTTTTCCTCCACCGCGGAGCACGTGATAAGTCAGCACTTTAAAGTTAAAAACTTAATTGGTACCGGCACCGGGGATCGAACTCAGGTTGCTCGAGTATATTGAATTAAAGGCGAGCGCCTGGACACTGAGCTATCACGGCTCTTGCTAATTATTATTACAATTAATCTTACAAATTAATCTCGTCAAAATTTATGATGAATATTGAATTAAAGATAATTGGGTTGAGACTCTAATTGTCATTTCATTTTATAACAGCTTCTGTTAGATTTTCCATCGAGTGAAATTGATGATGTCCATCAAAAATTTGACTAGGATTGTCGTATTTTGGATTTCCTTCCCTTCCCTATAATAATTGTCAAGTGCCAAACTTGCGCAAGAAGGGTTCCTTACCATTATCTATAAAAACGGCTATAAAAAAATCATGTCCGTTCTATGAGAGCCCCACTTAAATATTTTTTATATAGCGGCAAGAGAAATACATCACCTGTGAAAATGACAACTATCTTACTATCACGGTTCATGAGACTGGGCACCTGGTGACAGACGGACAGACAGACAGCCGAGTCTCTTAGTTATAGATTTTTTTATAGTTATAGTTATAGATAGCCTCCGCTTTGTTTTATCAAATTCCAATTGAAATATCTTTATTCAACATAGATGCACTACACTCACATATTAATTGTCAAAATACTAAAACCGGTTCGGACAAGAAAAGCCCGACCCGAGAAGAACCGGCAAAAGAAACTCGCGGGCCATAGCATTTTTCAACAAAAACATGTTTACACCTTATTAAAATCCAATTGAAACAGCCTGGAGCGATCAATTCCTTTCCAAAGTATGTTATCATTAAAAAAATCAATAATATTATAATAGCCGTTAACACGAAAAGTTCTTTCACAATTTTTTTTAATTTGTTAATGTTTTAATTTTAATTGCATTGCTAAAAATGCAATTAAAATTAAAACATTTCCAATAACAAGGATTACGATATTATGAAAATTCAGAGATTATGGGTGGTGTCGGTTAATGAAAGGGTTTTTATTGCGTTGTTGGTAAGCGACCACAGATCGTTCGGCAATATTCATTTGTGGGGATCCGCTGCCAGTAAGCGTTGAAGTGAAAAGGTCTGCGTTGACATTCGGCTAATCCTCCCGTTTCAGACGCAATATTCGTCTTTTGGCAAGTTTTAATATTGGGCGATCCTTACAGCAACGAGTGTGCGCAGTCGGGGCTTAATCGGTGTATGCTTAGGGCTTTTGCGTTGATCTCCAAACTGTAACTTGGTGAGTTTTCTGCCACCGTTTCGCGACGCCTGAATAGATTCCTGTGATCTCAGTTCCAAGGAGAGGCTTTATTTGACGCGAATGTTACATGAATATATAAATTTAGAAATCGATACTTAAAATTAGACCGCCAGCAATGATTTTTTAATGCAAGTATATACAATAAAGTTAAATGGCCTATGAATATGGATAAAATTCTTTAATAAAAACTGCGCTAAAATGTAATATATTATGTATGTTTTTAAATTGAGGAATCAATGCTTAAAATTAGACCGTTTGCACGGAGCTTTTAATGCAAGAAAATACAATGATTTTAAATAACACATGAATATGGATAAAATTCTTTAATAAAACTTCGCTAAAACGTATTGGGGGCACCCCAGGAGGTATCAGCGGGGTACTTCTTGGACCTATCTTAATATCATCTCGTAGCAAGGCAATATAGACGTCTCCACTTAATGTTGCCTGACCATCGGAATGCGATCAGATAAAAATACAAGACTCCTATGTCTTACGCACTGCAAAAGCATTAATAGAGGGGACAAAGAAACATAAAGAAAACAAAAGATACATTTAATAAGAAGTAATAGCTAGGTTGTCGACATATATTAACTGCAGGCCAATCATTAGCGACTTTTTATTATTATTCTTTTCTCATTCTCACATATTTGAACGGTGTGCGGTGCTGTGACTTATTTTAACCCATTTTTAGGGTTCCTTTCCTCAATATAAATTAGGAATCCTTATATAATTATATATATATATAGGATCACTTTTTTGTCTGTCGTCTGTTCGTATGCTCAGATTCTTCTTCGTCCTTTGAGTTCAAACTATTACAATATTTTCAGGTCTGTGAAAAGTCAAACTCCTAAAAAATGCAATCAAAAACTTTTGCACGTATCAAGGGCTCAGTAAAATATGAAGGAAATGTGTATATATTGTTTTACTCACGTGAAAGACAGCCTTCATGGCTTATTCGAAAACTGTGTAGCGTCTAGCGAATCGTGTTAACGCGAAGCCAGCATTCATATAAATTGTACGGATGATCGTAAAGCTGTCAGTTGTCGTTGCGATGATATAGGGCTGCTAATGGTGGAGTAAACGAAACTATTCCTTAGTACGTATACGTTTTTGGAATACGCAAATCGATTACGAGCCCCTTCGTCATTTACGAGACGCTATACACCCCAGTGTCCTCCTAAGCTTTTCCAATATATAAAAAAATAAATAAATATAAAAGTGAATTTAAAACACTATGTATATCTAAGTGCATTATCATTCTGTCCAATGAAAGACAAGTAGAAAGAAATATCTTCTGTACAGATTAAACGTGAGTCATAGAAAACTAAACTGAACTTCATTGACTTCGATTTCAGTCAGAATTTACTTCCAGTCTTTCTTCACCCTTCTTTCCTTATGATTATAATATGGGTGTCTTGAAGGCAATGATCAATAGGCTCCTACAGAGTTAGCACATTTGCAACTTACGGCTAAAAAAGTAAAGTTAATGTATCAGCCTATACATGTCCTACTATTAGTCAAAGGCCTCCTCTGTACAGAGGGTATTAGGGCATAGTCCACCAAGCGACCACACTGCTGATTTGAAGACTTCAAATATCCTCGAAATATAACTTTTATTATTATTTCGGAAATATGCAGGTTTCCTCGCCATTTTTTTCTTCACCCCTGAGTGTAATGTCTAATAAATGACTGTATCGACGCTTCATATCTGGTGGCATAGTCGCAGTTAACAGCTATTCCGTGGTAAAAAAGAAATAAAAAAAGCAAAATAATATTGAAAAGGGATGAAAAATCAGTGTTGTACACGAACAAAAATGTTTATTATTCCTTATGTTCCAAATCTCTGTGTACCATTCATGACCGTTCAACTTTTGATTCAGTTTGGAAAAAAGCTAGTTATCTCTGTTTGAGTTTTTTTGAGGCAGTCTCTGGGAGAGGCTGGACGGAGGAGAATGTTCAGAAGTGGACTGAAACAAGATGAAATGATGATGATGATGATGAAGATCTCTGTTTGTACCATTAGATTTGAAAGACTAGACGTTTAATAGACATTTAAATAGAAATCACGGAAGAACAAGAACAGAAAAACGTATTATTCGTTCATATTTACACGCTGTCATATAATTTTAGTTATTTATACTGTTTTAAATTGGGAACTACTAATCTAATTTATTAAAACCAAATGGTTTATATAAGAAATCAAAACGAAATTCAGCATTTTTATTATGACGGTATTTTATTACCTAATTTAAAACCTTATTGACAGTTTTAGGCCGATACACAGGTAAGCATAGTAAAAACTCTCCTGTCAAATGTATATTTGACTAGAGATCTGTATAGAATTTCTTTTTTAATGTGAAAATTTGCAAAACGAGTAGACGGTTCACCTGATGTGAAGTGAATACCGCCGCCCATGGACATCTGCTATACCCAAAAGTTTGCAGATGCGTTGACAACCTTTTTGGAAATTGGGCTCCGGCGGTAGCTATCACTCACCAGACGAAACACGAAAGTATTATACTTCCACTTTACGCCGGTCGTCTGTCGTGGTACTAACCCGGACGAGCCTGCCCTTTCGTGCAACAGCCGAGGCTGCTGCGTGGCCCTACCATCTTGAAAATGGTTGATTCCCTTTATTTCTACTAAAAAAATAATCTTATTTACATTACTTGTGTGCGCTGTAAGCTTGTTTTTGAAATCCTTCAAGTGAGTTTATGTAGTCATCACAGTCCCAGATGACTGCTGTCGATATAAAGTCATTGCACGTAAAGCCATATATCAGACCTGCTGCCTGATATGTAATTAAGGACCCCATAGAAACGCGCTTAACACAAGTAAAAGTAATTATTCAGGCATTCTCGAAGAATTAAATTCTTCCAAGTGAACACCAGCGCAAATAGTTTGTAATGACAAGCCAACCGACGTCTTCGCACT